CAGCTAACCATGAGACTTTTATCGCGGGAGCTGTCTTTAAACTACTCGATTTGTCTCCAGTATTAGCCGCTCTTATTCCGTAATTTAGGTGAATATAACGGTTGTAGAATTGGATCCTGTAGTGGTGGAAATTGCACGGGCATGGTTTGGTGTGACAGAATCAAAGAATCATCATGTGATTGTGGATGATGGATTAAAATTTATTGAAAAAGAGGCCAAATCAGGTAAATATCAACCGAGTTTTTCACCTTACTTACTCAAAGACCATGGATGAGCTTATCTGTGTATTTCACCTTGTGATTAGGAAACAAATTCGACGTATTGGTGTTGGATGCGTGTGATGAAGCGATAAGATCTCCATGTCCAGCAAAGGCATTCCGAAGAAGGGAAGTTATAGAGATGATGAAAGGCGTCTTAACAGATACAGGTCTGTTGAATTATTGAAATGCACAATGCCTGTCGCTCCCAGAGAATGAGGGTGGAAGTATATCGTTCGTGCACGTACTGCTGATAGTCCTGCTTTTGTAACCGGTCGAACTTTTGCTGTTATCGTAAGCGAAATAAGGCTCCATAAGATTCACCGGCAACGCGCACGCGGCGCGTACTGAGTGTCGTCGTAACAGCCACGTTATGAATTAGGCGTAAAGCCAGCACTCCGCCTTCAGACAGAACGAACTCTGTGGCGAGACGCGTCGACGCTTTACAATTGCAGCAGTCCTCCAGTCTTTCGATCGGCACCGTTCGCCTGTTCTGAAAGGGCATAGGATAAAAGGGGGCAAGTGCTATCTTCACACAATCTGATATTCACCCATTCTTCTGTACTATCCCAAAACGCAGCGACGGTGTCGATCAATTCCCATCTGCGGCTGCGTTGGGGTCTCTAGCGCTTGTAGCGCTGTTGCTATTGTAGCGCGTCGGCGCATCGCGAAGTGTGAACGCTGCCTTAGATGTTTCGGCGCTATTACTGGAAGGCGAATATTATTCTGTTTTCAAACAAGCGCAGTGATCGACGGTGCTGACCTTTAATTGGCTGTCAGCCGCAGCAGCATTGTTCGGAACGCACCACTGATGAGTTCTTGCCGTCCTTTGGCAAAGGATATAGTGAGAACAGATGAAGGGTTGCGGCATTGCTCGGCGCGCGCCGCGTGCGCACCTACCAGTGAGGTTTTTTATATCTTCCTGAGAAAGAAAAGGCGTGGACAATACAACGTGGAAAGGCGAAGGGCTGGCAGCCAGGTCATCGAACGTGCGAAATATTCGGATCAAGCCGACAGTTGACTTTTGGGGAGATGTTGAGCCTTTTTTATATTGACCGATATATTGAAAAGCTGAAACATGCATACTCGCTATGGTCACCGTGCGAAATGTACAGAAAGGGCGCAGTGGAGCGTAAAGCAGTGCAGGTGGTGGAACAGCTTCTCCATCCCCTTACCGACAGTGAAAAAGCGACGGTTCACATACAGTTCAACTTACTTAGAAATCCGTTGAAAACTCTTGTATCAGGCTGTTTGGTTGTCAATATACTTACGCACGACAGTAAAGAAGTTTCCTCCGGTTTACCCATGGTAAGCGTTTCTTTTTTGAGTTGTCAAGTTATTGTTGCAGTCTGAACCCTATACTTACAGATTGTTGAACTATTCACGTCTGTGTTTCCTGCTTGTATACAGATGAAAATGGCTGAAGAGGTAAGTTGAAGAAAGAGCGCGCTCATACTTCGCAAACCGATCACTTTCATTACGCGATTGGTAATATCGCTCAAGCGACAACCGATTCTCACGACTCCAACCGGAGGCGCTTCTCAGCTAATTGGTGGACCGCTGCAACGGCAGAATCCAAATGGGAGCGTTCACACGCCGACCCATTTGGATTTTGCCGTTGTAGCCCTCCGATTGGCCGATTGAAGCACCTCCGGTCGTGGTCGCGCCTTCCAGTCACTCGAGCGATTCGATTCGGATAGTGAAGTATGATTCAGTCAAAGAGTTTCGAGGCAGCGCTCAGACTCCACGATGATGCGCTACAGTTACAACAGCGCTTAAAGACAGCCCGCGCTCAAGTAGTCCATGGTCGTCCTTCCTTGTGCAGGTAGTTCAGCCCCCAAGCTAGATGCTGTCCCACTCTCGCGACTCCACAGTGAGCGAGGAGCGAGCTACAGCCGCTCAAAGTTCTAGTTCTAACGCCCGCTCAGTTGGACCGCCTCACTTGCTAGCTGCCCTCTGACGGAGAGCCGCTCTCACACACAGTCAACTGCAACGCCATCCGTAGGTCAACGCGTGAAAATGCATGAATAGCAGAGTCGTGTCAAAAGCTCGCATGCACACCAGTTGCAGCAAGCAAAATCCTAAATGCCAAAAAAGTCCCATCAGCGAGGGCGAGGTCGCGTCGCGGTCATTGCGCTGGAGCACTTTGAATATGGCGGGAGCAGCTGAGTGCTCCTTTTGATTTCGCAATTCATGGGACCGTGCTAGAGTAGCACGTTGTCATAATCGTCAGTGACGCGACGATGGCGCAGTGTTCCGCGGAATCGCGAACGGTTCCGCAGATGGTGCTAATCGTATCGCACGTGGTCAATCAGAAGTGAACATGCAGTGTTTTGATCACTTTAGAAGGTGAACGAAGATTTACATGAGACGATCCAGAAATTCAAACAGTGCAGGTGGTTGTATTTAGAAGCGTGACGGAAGGGTTTTTACATAGAAATTGAAAGTTCTGGAACATGCAGTTTTGACATCCTTAAAAAGGGTGAATGAACGGAGTTTCACATGAAAATTGGAAGTTGGAAAACGGTGCAGTGTCTTGATATTCTCGGAAGTGAATGAATTAGTTATATGTTCTTCTCCGTTCGCAGACCTAGTGCATCATGGAGTCATCCTGACATGAGGTACAATTCATGACCCACCATCATGCGCTGCAAAGAAGCGTACATGGATTTTAAAGCCCTTGTCGTACGGAACCTTATGTCAGGGATTTTTTTCTGAGTTTTAGAATCCTTCATGAGCAAAAACAGAAATTTCGAAGACGTAAATCTAGTGCGACAAGGTTAATGGGTACTTCAGAAGGATGAAGTGGTGGCAAAGGTGGTGCGTGGTAGTTCACCTGAGTACTGAAGGCAAAGATGACTACGAAATAATCTTACCTCTGTGTGATAAACAAGAACTAGACAACACCAATCTCAAGAAGCAAGTGGTGTCACAATAGAGATTACTGTTCACAACCATCCGACACTGTTAAGTAGTACAAGCTCCCAGGAAATCAGTAAGTGTGTGGTAACATAGACTTCGTGAATGTGCCACTGAACGAGTTCGGGTGTGATCGCAATTTCCTTAAATTCGAGGATAAACTGATCTTTACGGTTAGCAACGTGGGTATAGAAGTGTCTGTGGGAAACTTCTGAGATTCCAGGAAACTAGAAGGAAGTCCTGTAAAATTCCTGATCTAGTATGTTTCAGGGTCATAGCTCGCGAATTGTATCCAATTCCTCCAATCAAAGTGATCTTCTCATCCTCGGACGTAATGCTCGTGTGTATCGTGTGAACCTAATCGCGAAGATAACGCGCCCCAGCGCAATGACCGCGACGCGACCGTTCGCCCTTCGCTGATGTGAAATGTTCGTTTGGCATTTAAAGATTCTCGAAAAGCGGCACACTTGCAGTACCCCTAAATTTGGACGCCACAGGTTTTTGAATTGCTCGGCTTCTTAAGTGTTTGTCGTTCGTGTCTTTGTTGTTTTTCATATTCTTTCTTTGAAGTGGATGTTGTCCACTACAGGGAAATGCCATAAAGAGATTTGTGAGCAAGGGGGGCCCCACGGACCGCGGAGCGGTGTAACCGAAGGGAGCAATGATGTTTGTGGTGGTCTGAGGGCACTTGTTTTGTTTTTTTTTCCTCATGAAGAAGTAACTATCAGCTACTGATGCATAACGACAGCAATTATCCTTGACACTTTCATCGCGGGAGCTGTCTTTAAGGCTTATAGAGCCGGCAATGCCGAATTATACTAGTTTGGGCAACGCCTACTGTCGTATCATATTCCCTTGAATCACAAGCGCCCATCTGTTGAGCGTTCGCATACGGGATCGGCGTTGCGGCCGCCTTTGCGTCTATACCTTTAGAGCGTTGTTGCAGTCGTAGCGCGTCGTCGCGCATTACAGCGCGTCATCGCGAAGCATAAGCGCTGCCTAAGTGATGTATGCTGTAGACAATTTCTCTTTTTTTAGATCAACGTTATATTAACATGTGTTCCATACTCAATCTCTAGCATACGTCAGCAGCTCAGCTTCTACAATAGTCGGCTTGCAACAGTAATAAAGAAGTTCAATTTCGCCAAAATTTTACAGGGAGTTGTTCTGGTATAATAGTTTGAGAATGTCTCTTCTTATGAGGACATCAGTCTACCATTTCATTCCTTTTCTTTTTCTTCCTTTTTCAATGTTCTGAAAGGATTCGGTCCAGCTGATCACACGCTATGGTCTTGAAAATTATGTGTCTAGGTGTCTAGCATTCTTTTGTGAGATTCTACGCAAAGGATTTTCTTCAGTCAATTTGATGCTTAGGTTATTCTTCAGGGTATACGTATGTATTAGATTATTGCTAGAATTTATGCTCAGTTTTGTTGTACGTGGCCAATAACTAGCATAATACTGTAGTGGATGGGCTGGAATAATGCCATAGTTGGCTCATAGTCCATAGAGCTAACGCAAGTGGAAGTCAGGCTTCGCTCATACATGGCGTCTGCGCACGGGCTTACGGCAGCGCCTTGAGCGTTCGGAACGTACGCCAGTGCCCACCAGGAGTGGAGCGTGTGGGGAAATAGGAGGGTAGCTGACTGCTAGATTAGGCGTTCTGAAATCGCGACGTGTGCAATGGCACCCTACAATTGCACAACATCGTACCTCAAGATTCTGTGCTTTAGCAGTTGTACTGTGTGGTTGCACAAATCACGACGGCTAATCCAGCTGTCTGCTTCCTCCTACTTTCCCACACCCCTTCCTGAACGCTGACGCTGACGGGCGCTGGCGTTCGCTAGATTGATACCTACAATTTCGTGGTCGCTGGCGCTGGTACGCTCTGAACGCTCAAAACGCTGCTCTCTGCTGAAGCAACATGAACGCAGCCTCAGCGATGACAGCGCCTGAAGAAGCCATTTTAAAGGGATGTGATGACAACAATACAATTTTTTTGAGGACTGTCCTCAAGAAAAAGAGCTCGAATCAAGCTTCGGTAGTGCTGAGCTGCTATCGTGCGGGGTACGGCATGGATACAGAATATCTACCGATGCTAATGAGAGTGCAGGCAAAATTGAATGTGCCTAACAGTCAATCCCATGAATGAATGCCTAGGCGAACTTATTTCTGAAAAAGGCCTCAGGTTTTCACCTGCGCGCACCTTACATACAGTAAGTTGGGTAATGTCGATACTGGAAGCCCATCCACGGTTTTCATTCTTGATACGGGTTTTCATAAGACTGGTCTTGTTGTTAGGGAGATCTGGTGAGGAATTTTTATTGTTGATCAGCTATGGTTTGAGGAGATCAACACTTTTCATTTAGCGCTTTCATAGGAACTCTGCCAGTGTAGTTATTGTATGTGAAAGGCCATAATGTTCGATTCTTATTAGAAATAAATATTAGTATTCTTTGTTGATGTTGTGTGTGCGACTTACTGTAATCGGTTGTTTACTTGCTCAGCGACAAATTCCGCGATTGTATGTCGAGGTGGGTGGGGGCCAAATGGATGTGCTAGTCGAGTAGTCGACTTAGCAATGGAGAAAAGTGAAGGAGAAATTGCCGAAAACACCATGAGTGAAGCAAGGTTGACTTTCTCCATTGTACACTGTTTAGACTTCGCTGCGATGAGCTACCATTGCAAGGGAGACGACAAAACGATTGCAACTTGTCGCGTCGTCGTGCGCGGTGTGTCGTGTGTGATGTGCATCAGTTCGTCGGTGAGCATAGCAAATCTATCTGATTCCAAGCGGAGGTAACACTCAATCCTGGGCGATATTGATATTTCCCATTTTCCCATCAGTTTCTAATGGCCAGGCAGGACGACTCGTCCCCCAAGCGTAGCCTCGTTCGCCACGCCCACCAGCGGGCATATTACGATTGTCTTGTCACATATCGCCATTGCAGCAGCGTTCCAAGGCTACAATGGACCCGCAAACGAGTACTGATAGGCGCCACCCGCTGATGTTATGAGAGTGTATATGATAACAGCAGAGTATGAGCTGTCTGATTACGCAGTAACGATCGGCGCCAGCAGTGCTTTGAGAGAGTATAGAAGAATAGGAAGGTACCAGCCTGGATGATGTGGCAACGCGCACCCTCCTGTTCTCCATACTCGCTCAAAACTAGCGGCGTGCACCCATCCATACATGACTACTTCCCGTCTATGGCAGCGATATACTTCGCAATGACGCGCTGTAACGCGCTCCACGTGCTACAATTACAGCAGTGCTCCAAAGCTATAGAAGTGAACGTAGCCCGCAGATGGCCACTGCCGATTAACACCAGTCTGCTTGACTAGGTAACACTCACCATCCTATTTGGCGTTTACGTGACATCTTGAATTTTTGTGCATGGTCCTGTTACGAAACCCTGTGACGCAGACGGATAGAGGGCAGCGGCTGCCAAAGCATCGAAACGTGCAAAAAACGTATGGCGAGCCAGGAAACGGGATTTTTCAAGGGGAGGGGACTC